CCAACAATAAGCCCAACCACTCAATTTGACGCCGCTTGCCACACTGATTCAAGAAGGATGTGCGAGGAGACACCTAGTGGTATTTCGATGTACTCATAACCATTCGTGCGCAAAATTCAAATTTCGGTAACTTTTGGATTGCCCCACGTATTATCTTCCCACCTATGCCTAGGTGTTCCTATTGGTCTCTTTCATTCCGTCTTTATCAGCAAATCCTATATCCATTCCTCATCTCCCCCATGTCCATTTCATCCTCCTTGACTTGATCATATAATTATGCTTGGTGAATGAAGGTTACAAGTTGTGGAGCTCTTCATTATGATGTTTTTGGTACCAAAATAGCAGATATTTTCTGTACTGCCGCAGTGACTGATAATTTCTTGGGAAGGTCACTGAGCTGTGAACAGTACTTTATAGTTATCATGAAAGCTGTAGAGAAGAACATCTGTACAAAACACCTCTTATGAGTTAGATGTGATGAGAAACAGGCACAGCAAGGAGAGCATGTGCTGTTTCATGTGTGATGTTGTGCATCCATTTCTGATAAGGATGTGATGGTTTTTACAGATCTGTACAGATTCGGAGAACGCGTTAGTGGGTCCATATGTTGAGACATACCCAACACCTCAATATGCAGATCAGGCCATGAATGTAAAAGCTGAGACAGTCTCAGATGCAGAAGAGGAGGAGGATCCTGTCCCAATAGCATTTATAGAAATAAAGGCTGAACCTGAGGTGAGCTGTATGTGCACTGTTAGGCAGATGACACAAATGTGCAGAAATGCCGCTTGTCTTCTCTGTGAACTTGAAACAACTCTACTGTGCTGTTGACTAGATTCTGAAAGGTTTTTTTTCCTGAAATGTTTCTAGGCAACTGTACCACGTTGAATGTTGCATGTGATATACCACTCCCATTTTTCTTAAACAGATCTAATATAGATGACGGTAGATCTTCTGTAAACTGAATGTTTGCGGTAAATTCCATAGCTGGAACAATCCTTCACTGTTAAGAATAATAGACCACTGTAGGTCGCAGTGCAAGGGCCAAGAGGCCTACCCCTCATTCATTCATCCATCCTTCACAATTTCCTTGTCTGTCCAGTCCACTAAGCATTGCTTTGGTACTACATATGGGGTTCCCAGGATCTATAAATGCTGAAGTTAATCATTTGTTTTTTGTCTCCTTGCAGTCTGTATCCATGTAATAACATAGCAATGTCATTGTGTTGAGGATGTATAACAGGATAACTATTCTCTAAAGATTTGTGACAGCGCGTGACATATTATAGACACGTGTTGCCTGTCGCTCTTTGTTTGAAGTAAATTTAATATACCTGACACTGCTGCAGTTGCCTCTGTACCTGCTGTCAGGTGATTGGTTGTCATGACAGATTTCATGTTGTTTTCTGTTAGACAGAAAGGTGACTAACTATTAGATAAGAGAATGTGTAAAAGGTGTAGAAAGCAATAGTGAAGAATTGGCATTGGCAACACATCCTAAAATATAGACGCAATGGTGGTGAAGTGGTATCTACAATGGATGTAGTTAAACACACAAATAAAGTTATTAATGAACATCAAAGAAAATTTCTACATCTACATGTAGACGGAGGTTCTTACTTTTCTCAGCCGGTTCACAGCAACTGATGCACCACTGGCTGCAGGGTGCATACAAATTTTGCCAGTGTATCAGTATGCTTGTGGCAAGTAACATTTGGAATGAAGTATACAATTCACAGGTCACAGAAGTTGTAGAAAATGCTGTCGTCCTACACGTAGACATTCCTTGCGCCAGAAGAAGGGGTTCCGATTAACCCTTGAAGCTGTTGTGCTGGAATTTTTGCAATTTCCCTATGATTTTTTTTTTTTTTTTCCTAATGGGGTATATCCCTGCAAGTGTAACCCATGCTTCATCAGAAAAAGAATGTCAGTTCCAGATGAATCTCATCTTCAGTGATACACTGTAGAAACCAACTGCAGAAATGAATTTAGAATTGTTTTTTGTTTATAGTCCTGATAGCATTTATATTTATATCCACACAGCAGATTTTGGAAGCTGGATATACATTTGGCACAATGGACCAGACCATAAAAGTGTTATATATGAAGGAAGGACCCAAACACAACACATTAGACAGATTTTATATATATGAGACATAATGAAGGAAGGTTTACAGATGAATGATACATTAACAGAAATACATAATCCCATATTTGACTTTCTAGTAAAAACACACACACACACACACCAAATAACCCCACCCCTTCCCCATCTCTTTAGCCACTCACAGTAGCCTTCCCCCTACCTCATACCACTCGACTGTACACAAACATACCCACTTAACACCACACGCTGTGGAGGGAGCACACACAAACCAGGAACATATGGCAGTCAAAAACTGAAAGTAGACCACGAACGTGAGGGGCAGACTGCCGAGAAAAACACCTTGATACATTTATGAAAATGACAACACCCCAGGTGAGGTGAAATAATATGCAACAGATATTTTCAAGGATTTTATCTCTTTTTACTTAAAAAATAATAAGGAAAACCACAGCGTGTGATTTCCACACAAATCAAAACAGTGTAGAAATTTTTTAACAGTTTTAGTAAAATATCTGTAACATAAAAACACCTGAAGATGGCCGTTTGGGGCAGAAACATGTAATGTTGAAGTGTAAAATGTAAACGTGTTGCAATTTTGACGGAAGATAAACAATGGACACTAACTAAACGAGTTTAATAACAACACACTCACAAGTTTCTCCTTATAATAATTAGAAAACTGTTTACAGATCACTCTGAATAAACAACCTGTTGTGTGACATACAGAATAACGAGCATAAGTTCCACAAGAGGATAGTAAGGTCAGTACCACACGACCTAACTCATGTGAGAAGATCCTGATACGCAGGTGCCCCACACTATAGTGCCTTCTGCCACCAGAAAATCATGTCAACAAGTAGCGGTCACAAAGTTTTAAAGAGATATCAAAATATATCATTTCCATTTTAGTACAATTTTAATTTTCATGTTTTAATCTTTAGTCAATTTTTCAATTATATTGCCTGAGTATTTTAAAATTTTAACTTAAAGATTCAATTTTTGCATTTAAAAACACTCAAGTGCACAATAAGGATCCTTATTGAAGAATTAGTTGCATATTGTTAAATGCCATTCACCAACTGAGTCTGGTATCATTGTACACCTGATGACAACCCAGTATAAGGGTCTAAACATCTAGCATCAATAAAAGCAGATGTTGATACGATAGTGTCTACCTGCTTTAAATACAGAATATTGTTGTGTAGACTGCATACTTCTGTGTACATTTTATGAACATATGTAGCTGTTGCAAGGAGTTTGCACTCCTGCTTCTACACAGTGTGGTGTGCACAATGCCATTTCACATATCCCGAAGTTGTGGCCATTTTCTGGCAAAAGCCAAACATTTACACTGTCAGGGAATCTTGTGTGGCAACCCAGGAGATGACTCATATGGATTTGTTCATTGTATCAGGGTGGACATGTCAGGGTTTTGTCGGGCCATGTACCGCCTTTCTTAATATCATTTATAGCTCAGCCTTTATTGTTATTTCATTCTAGGAGCCTTTCCACTATTAATTAGATGTCTGTCCAGCCTTACAAATGCATAATTTTATTTAATTTGCAATTTGTTATACAGTGGCAGTGCAGTGTAACTTCTGTTGACTCAGAAACCTCCATACATGCTGATGGACTTAGGCACACCCCACACAAGGGGCTGTGCTCTCTCTGTCACCACACTCATACTTACCGATTTAACATGTCACTGTATTGGGGCTTCAAATTATTTCTCTTCCTGTTAGGATTTTTCATGTTATTTACTCTCATTTTCCAGGGTAATTTGAATGAAATTCAACCCGTACATGGTGAGGAGCGACGATATTCCTGTGATGAGTGTGGACTTTCATTCAGTCAAGAGCAAATTCTGATAGCACGTCGACACATACATAGTGGGGAGCGGACATTTTGTTGCAACGGGTGTAACAAGTCATTTAGTCGGCAGAGTTGTCTGAAGATACATCAGCGCATACATAGTGGGGAGAAGCCATTTTGTTGCAATGTGTGTAACAAGTCATTTAGTCGGCAGAGTTGTCTGAAGATACATAGGCGCATACATAGTGGCGAAAAGCCATTTTGTTGTGATGAATGTAATAAGTCATTTAGTCAGCAGAGTAATCTGAAGACACACCAACGCATACATAGTGGGGAGAAGCCATTTTGCTGTGATGTATGTAATAAGTCGTTCATTTTAAAGAGTGACGTGAAGAAACATCAGCGCATACATAGTGGAGAGAAGCCATTTTGCTGTGATGTATGTAATAAGTCATTCAGTCAACACAGTAGTCTGAAGAAACATCAGCTCATACATAGTGGAGAGAAGCCATTTTGCTGTGATATATGTAATAAGTCGTTCATTTTGAACAGTCATCTCAAGAGGCATCGGCACATACATAGTGGAGAAAAGCCATTTTGCTGTGATGTATGTAATAAGTCATTCAGTGATCATAGTAGTCTCAAGGCACATCGGCGTACACATAGTGGAGAGAAGCCATTTTGCTGTGATGTATGTAATAAGTCATTCTTTTTGAAGAATGATTTGAAGAGGCATCGGCACATGCATAGTGGAGAAAAGCCATTTTGCTGTGATGTATGTAATAAGTCATTCTTTTTGAAGAATGATTTGAAGAGGCATCGGCACATGCATAGTGGAGAAAAGCCATTTTGCTGTGATGTATGTAATAAGTCATTGAGTGATCACAGTAATCTGAAGGCACATCGGCGCATACATAGTGGAGAGAAGCCATTTTGCTGTGATGTATGTAATAAGTCATTGAGTGATCACAGTAATCTGAAGGCACATCGGCGCATACATAGTGGAGAGAAGCCATTTTGCTGTGTTGTATGTAATAAATCATTCAGTGATCACACTACTCTGAAGAACCATCAGCACATACATAGTGGAGAGAAGCCATTTTGCTGTGATATATGTAATAAGGCATTCAGTCAGCAGAGCACTCTGAAGACACATCGGAGCACACATAGTGGAGAGAAGCTGTTTTGCTGTGATGTATGTAAAAAGTCATTCAGTGAGCAGAATCATCTGAAGAGACATCAGCGCATACATGTTGATGTGTGCAGTAAATCATAGAGCAGTAGAAATGGATGTAGACTAAAGGAACATTATGTGACTTGTAGCATGCCACAGTTTTCATGTTGTAAGTAAGACAGTTTTGCTGTGTGTGGCATGCTTCACTTTTGTAGAATGCTACAGTATATTGCGGTTTATTGCTTTTGCTAACTTTTCAAACTGACGGGAAATGAACTGAGTCCCATGGTACGAAACATCTGTGCAAATGAGTTCCATTTGATTCTAATTGTTGAATGTGCTCAATGCCCCCTCTTGTTGAGTGGAAAGAGACATGACATTGAAGAAAGCAGTCTTCTGGGATTTGGCACCGTGTATATGTGGTCCTCAAATCTTACAGACATGATATTCTCCTACACTTATGATGTTAATTCAGCACTAGAAGCTAATGATTAGTAGAGTGTAGCACTGAAATGGATTGACAGCTTATGCACATAATTCAGTGGCATTGTATGTTTTTTGCTGTACGTTATCTGTGCTCTTCTGCCATTACATGTCATTAAATTCGTTGATCAGTTAGTTACAGATAGATATATCACTTGGATTGAGTATATTGAGATAACTGTTATGGATTTGGTCAGATGAATACAAAGTATGCTATATTGGACATTGAAGACAAGATATATTTTTGTGGGATACTTGGTATATTGATTATAAAAAGAAAGTTAAATAAAGGTTGGTTGATTCTGCTTGTGGAGAAACGTAATGGTACAGAGAATTTAATTTGGAAAGCTGAAGAAAGATTTGCTGACATCTTTTCATTGTGAATATCAGAAGAGAAACAGCGGTCTGTCATGAGATCAGAAGAGAAAGTGGTTTGGCACTGAGGCACTCCTTTTTGCTTTAGGTCTCCTTTGCTTTAGAGGGAAAGAGTCAGCTGAAAATTGTGAAGTAAGTTTCAGTGTAATTATATAATTTTTAATAAAATTAGGCAGTGTCATTAATATTATTAATTGCAGTTCAGAGGTTTCATGTAGTGGAATGACATGAGGAATAGCTTTTAAATGTACTTAAATTCAATGTAATTATGCCCCTTACTCCGTACCCGTTTTCTTCACTGCCTCAATGAACTGCATCATAACTAAAGCTAATGCTTGGTCACTCCAAGCAAGTGATCTCTGATTACTGACACTTTCTTTTTGCCAAGGAACGCTTGCTTCATTTTCATAAGATGTACCATGCATTCGTCCCTCAATAACTTTGCATCAGCAGAGTTCTTCCTCATGTGTCACCACACATTGGCTGTCGCTGCATCACCAGAACTGATCCTGCTCCATGGTTCTGGAATATGTTCCATTTTGTATGTCTTCACCATATGAAGTAGTGCGCAGTGCATGAATGGATTTTCAAGTTGCAGTTGTCCTCAGAAAAATGTGAAGGTAGGCTGATGCTGTGTATTCTGTATGCTGAAAGAAGGGTGAAATCATCTGGCTCAGGATAGGGGCCAGTGTCTGGCTGTGAATGGTAATGAACCCTTGCATTCCATAACATGTTGGTAATTCATTGAGTAGCTGAGCAACTAGTAGCTTTTCTGAAAAGATGCAGCTGTGTGAAGTTTGTTAATATTTTGCATTAGAACTTCTAGGCTGATTGTCTGGAACTGGAATTTGGTGTTGACCCCATCCTGCTGAATCAACCCAAATGTGTCTCCAATGGTCAGTAAGTCTGGGTTCCCTGTTATATACATTGAGGTAGTAGAGTATGCTACGTATATATACCTGAGGGCAGTGACTCGCATCCAGCCAGTCAGTTTATCAAACCCTGTATTCCCACCAGACTGAAGCAAAGCTTGTCTTCCAAGAAATGTATTTTTGCAGTATGTGTTTCCACTTTAATTACTGATACATAAGTAACTCCAGGGAGCTGAGTTAGTAATCATTAAAGGAAGGTGTTATTTTTGAGACTTCGCATCCCACTAGCTCAGAAAGTGTTTTAATGTATATAAATTTTATGTCACATTGTGAGCACATGCTGTGCACAGTGAAACAGGCGCTTGTTGTAGCTGATGCAGCAGAGGGACTGACATGGAGAAGGCAATGCAGAGCTGTGTGGAAAGGATGAATGAAGAGCCAAATAACAGTACAAAACTTGAGGAATAAGAAATGTGACCAAGAAAGAAGATGGGCAGAATAACAAGGAGATTCTGATCATGACATAGAAGCCTGTACCTTAACTGAAGGAGAAAAAAAAAATGTTTCTGTCTTGCTCTTCATTCACAAAAATTCAGAATTTAAACTTTGTATTGTATAATATATATTTAAGCATCCTGTTGCACTCCACACGATAAATGATACAAACTCCGTCCCAAGTGCAAACAATATATATTATATGTCTTTGATCTTGTTCTCTTCTACACTACATGTTTCGGCCTCTATCGGCCATCATCAGGTATATACTCTTAACGTTGCTGCCACACTGAACCCAGTCTAAAATTTAACATTTAAAACACATTGTTATTCTCTTCGTATTATCAACATCTACCTCGTTGATATGTGTCTGGTATGTAGATTATATTGCACACGTCAAATTTGATTTTCCTGTAGTAGCACTATAAAATCTTTAGTTATGATTTTAAAATCCTTTAAAATTATCTCTAAATTTTAAATTTAAAATTTAAAATTGTTAGGGTTACTCGCCCTATGTCTAAAGTGCTGGAGCAGCTAGTTCTTGTTTCCACACTGTACAGGTGTTATTCTGTGTAGTCTTCCTGTGTGCGTGCCGCTGCTTG